AAAAAAAAAAAAAAAAACACAGAGGCATCTAAAATCAAGATCGCACTCAAAATATTTTCAATAATGGCTCTAATGTTTAAAATGAATCATATGTAAGCAAAAGCTACAAAAAATGTTTAGCTCAAATTATCAATGAAAAATATAAGGTCAAAAGGAGATGTTAAATATCGAATAATCAAGTGGCAAATGAGAATTTAGATTCACAATCAAGTAACCGGTGGTATGAGGAAAGAAATGAAAGCCAGTTCAATCAGCCTCGCACCTCAACCTTTCTCCATTTTTTTACATAGTAAGCATCTACTTTGTTAAACCCCGATGATCATTCTATCTGGTAATTATTCTTATATTTTAAGAAACTACAAACTGTACAGAAAAAAAAAAATCACACTATTTTACACCAAATTCGTTATGAACAACCAAACATCTAAGGCACTATTAAACATAAAACCCTACAACTTCATGAAAGTTCAGGTGAAAATTAGTGATTCCAAAAACTCTATATCTCAGAAGTTGCTTTGAGCTCTCATTTTTATAGATATTCAAAAATGCGCATGATTTCAAACCAAAAGGATTGAGCGCATGCAAAACTGAAAAACACTATCACTCTGGAGCCCTGGGCGTCACTATATATTCCAAAAAACCGTCACAACAAAAATGGAATGAGCACATTATGAAAAGCAGGGAATGGCATAGAAAATAAAGAAAATGATTCCCATTTCAGTTACTTTTCTTCTGGACACACTTACTGAGGCCACAATCTCATCATAAGAAGTCCACCCTCAGAATAAGTACAAAAATGTCTAGCAAAGATAAATATATTTAGAATTTCCTTGCAAGTATATTGTGACAAGATAGCAACATTGCACATCAGCATATAAAGAATGAGAGAACCATGGAGAACGAGGAAAATTATAACGCACATGTATATGTTAACAGAATAACAACAACAACAACAACAACAACAACAACAACATACCCAGTATATTCCCAACTGGTAGATTTCTAGACGATATGCAACATAATATTGAATAGAAGTATATTATCTGTAAAAAAAATTGGAGACCCTTTATTTCATCTTACCAAGATAAGGAAGTGCAACAATAGTCAACTAGAATCTTGTAAGCATTCTCAGCTGCACTGCCGAGATAACTTACAGAAACCAACCCCAACTTACAATATAAAGACACAGGAATCTTTCATTAAGAAATGGCATCTGGTAAAAGTTGTACAATCTTGCCTGCTCATAGATCTCAAGTCACTTAACCATTCAACTAGCAGCTTAGAACTCCAGTCTACAGAAGAAAGCTGGAAACAATGTTGTACTCTTTAAAAACTTAATGCAAAACAAAGTTTGTTATGATCTTCGGAGGTTCAAAGCACATATGACAGCTATAGAACTTTTTTTTTTTTTTTTTCTGGGGCTCAAACATACGGCCTTTATAGAGAACAAAGCTTGGTACCAAAGACATTCTGAGAAAGCGACTCAACGTTTGGAGATAAAAGTAAAAAATAAAGGAATCTATATAGTGTAAAAGATTAGAGTTGAATTTTCTTTCAACAACCGCTATACTGTAATAAAATAAAGCAATCAAATATCAGACCTTATCATTACCCCCTATCATATTTCACAGTGAAACCTCTCAATTTTGGACAACAAGCTTTACATCCATGCACTGATTTATGAAAAATTTAGGGCAAAATCATAGAAACAATAGAGAACACATGTATTTTGTGCATCTAAAGAGAGAGAAAGAACTAATAGAAGAAGTTAATGCAAAGAGTACTGAAACACATACGCATCCTCGAGAAGCTTCTAAGCGTTGAATAAGTAATGAATGACAATGCTGGTAGCAGAAACATCGGTAAGACTCGCAACGCCCTCGTTTGCCAGTTCAAGTTTAAGGATCTTGTGGTGGTGATAGCAAAACTCACTGCAATAACCTAGAGACACAGGGGGAGAGCCATAGATAAGAACAATAGAAACCATTCATGTCCATCAATGACATTGAGAAACTGGCTATCCATCTACAGAAAATTGAAAATAAATAACAAGATTCTAATCCACAAGTTCTCTCTCTTGCACACCCATACATACAAATGTGTGTATTTACCTCAATAAGACCAGAGAAATTCAAAATTATTCTCTCAAAAATATAATGGAAGTTTTACCTCAATAAGAACAGAAAATACGATAAAGTGCCTTGTCATCCTCCGAAGATTATTAGAACGCCTCGTTATTCTGGCAAGAACAGCTGCCTCTTCCTTAGAAATATGTTCCAATCTCTTCCCATAATCATCCTCACGTACTCTAAATAGTGCATTCCATATCCTTGATAGAATGCCTTTTCTCTTCTTTGTATTCTTAGTCTCAGAATCTGGCAATACGACAGATTCCACGGCACTGTTCTTAGATTCTGAAGCCATTTTCTGCATGTTAAACGCCAAATTATCATATCGCCTACATATTATGAGTCAAGTTAGCAAATGGAAATGCCACATGCATTTTTTAATGTATTTCAGAATGAACTTTTGAAATTTCCCAAACGAAAGCCTGCAACTTTTTCATATTACTAAATTTAAAAAGAAGAAAACCCACAGTTTTTTATCAAGTACAACATGTTGTAGTTATGAAGCTAGCTTTAGTATTATTTAAAGCCTAACCAAGCATATCACAAATGGGTGCCTTACTATCTCCATGAATTTAGCATGAAAGACATCCCGTCAATCCCGAGCACAACATTTCCAGACTTTATGTAGCAGCACATTAATTGTTTAGCCTGTAGCTTTCAATATTATAATCACATTGATCGGGCCTAGACTTTCTTGCCATTAATTATTGAATACATACTAAGAATGATCTCCATAGCAGAAGAAATATTCAAATATCCAGAAGTCGAGAGCAAAAATAGATGGGAGCAAGACATGATCCATTCAGGTGAGGGACATTTCAGCTCAATTATTATCCCGAAATTATCATCACATATAAATAAAAAAAAAAGAGAAGTAAAAGGAAATTAATACAAATTGGAAATGAGCGGCAATCATAGAAGTTATCAATAAGATCATAGGCATTTACCGATAGATTTTTACAAAAAAAAAAAAAA